AGTAAGGACCCGTGATCGCTTCTGCGTAAGAGCGCGGGGTTAGGATGTCTAATGCATCTGGGTCTTCCTCAGGAGCAAGTAGCATGGCAGCGAGATGAGGTACAGCAGCCGCAAGACAGTCGAGCTCAAACTACCCGTAATCACCCGGATATAAGACCCCCCCCCCCCAGTTGTAGACCCTCGGGTTTATAATACGGGGTCTTATTTTTGGGTATGTTTTTGTTATGCCCCCCCTTTTGGCTGAAAACATTATAAGACCCCCCACCTTACAGCGAACGTGTGATTCTATAATAGAATATAGTCGTTTTGTGAAGGAGAATATGATGTTTCCCCTTCGGATGAAGCCACGCGAGCATTGCACTGTCAATGTTGTGCATTTGACCGTTTTTTCCGCCACTACGAGGCTCGTGAATCAAAGCTTGACCAGTTGCGAGCGTGATGCCACTTGGCAAATGCCTGACTGTGCGATTCTCATGGTCTTGATTCGAGATTCATTTGACTTGATTGGCTATGTGGTTGTCCAATCAGAGAGCAATATCTGGATTTCTTAATCACAAACAGTTATCACAAAAACATCCTCGTCATGCCGCTTTTCCGAAATCTAAAAACAAATCACCACCAACATGAGCTTCGCATTTAAATACAAGTAAAAAAAACATGTTTATTTGTAAAGACCCGGGTCTTATATTACTACGACAATATGATAAGACCCCCCACCATTCTTTCCCATAGTTTTCATAAGACCCTAGGGTCTTATATCCAGGTGATTACGAGTATGAACATAATTTGACAAAGTTGGCTGGGAGGCAGGCCTCTGTATATCAAGGTAAAATACTTCTATGACCCTTTCTTTTTGCACCCTTTTTTTTAGAGTGGATTTTTTAGACCCTTACAAGAAAAGGTGTTTTATTTTATGACCCTGATATTTCAGAGTGCGTTGGTGTAACAACACTTACGATATCTAGCAACATCTTACAAGGTATGAGTGTCAGATTATATGTATGTTGAATATATATAGGCTGTAGTGGGGTAGCCAATATGGGGTACAACCCCATTAGGGTTCCATATTTGTACCAAAGCCTGATCTAGTCATCTCATTCCTGCCTAGACTTCTGACATGGTTTCAGAGCAGTAGGTCCGTAGGACCATCTTTTTTTCCGGGCCCACCTACCGTTGCGGTTACTAAGCTGCACCACTTCTTGCCTGCGCTGCGCCGCCCGCGCGCGCGCCCTGCCTTGCCTGCGCTGCGCCGCCCGCGCACGCCCTGCCTAGCCTCCGTGACGTGCTGCGCTGCGCGCGCCGTCCTCCAGCCTTCGCGCTGCCTGCTGCTGCCCTGGCGTCGCGTTGCCCCGCGCACGCCCTGCCCTGCCCCGCGTTGCGCTGCCCCACGGATGCCTTTCCCTGCCCTTCAGCAGCGCCCTGCCCTGTGCCAGTGCCCTGCCCTGCGCCAGCGCCCTGCCCTGCGCCGGCGCCCTGCCCTGCGCCAGCGCCCTGCCCTGCGCCAGCGCCCTGCCCTGCGCCAATGCCCTGCCCTACGCCAGCGCCCTGCCCTGCGCCAGCGCCCAGCCCTGCCCTACGCCCGCGCTACTGCGCCACCCTACGGCAGCCCGCGCGTCGCGCGCTGCTGCCCCGCGCGTCGCGCCCTACGGCAGCCCGCGCGTGCGCACTACTGCCCCGCGCGTCGCGCTCTGCTGCAGCCCGCGCATCGCGCCCTGCTGCCCTGCTCATCGCGCTCTGCTGCAGCACGCGCGTCGCGCCCTGCTGCCCTGCACGGTGCGCGCCCTGCTGCCCGCGCAGCCCAGGCCGAGTCGAGCCGCCCTACCAGACCCGATCCGCCCTCCTGCTCGTGCTACTACTGCTCCTGGTGGAGGTGCTACTAGGAGTGCTGGAGGTGCTGCAGCCTAGCCTCATCGGGCCGCTCTACTGCTCTTACTGCTATTGCTGCTGCTCGTGCTGCTGTCTTTCCTCCGTACCGCCCTCCTAATCGCGCGCCTCTTTGCTTACCCGCTATGACTTCCCTTCGTAGCAGCGGTGGGAGTGGTGACGGCGGTGGTGGCAGCAGTGGGAGTGGTGGCGGCCGTAGTAGCAGACGCTGTGGAGCTGTTCGGTGGGGAGCGTCGGGCGGTGGCCAGATGCAGCTGCAGCGGCGTCCGCGCGAGACCCTTCCACCCCAGCAGCTTTGTGAGTGGTACGCTCAGCGTTGTGCATCTCGGAGTGGTGGCCGCGACCATAGTAGCAGTCGTGGTGGAGCTGGTCAGTGCGGAGTTTCTAGCGGTGGCCACATGCAGCTGCAGCGGCGCCCGCGCGAGACCCTTACGCCCCCGCAACTGCATGAGTGGTACGCTCAGTGTTGTGCGTCTCGGAGTGGTGGCGGCGACCATAGTAGCTGTCGTGGTGACGCTGGTCAGTACAGAGTTTCTGGCGGTGGCCAGATGCAGCTGCAGCGGCGCCCGCGCAAGACCCTTACGCCACGGCAGCTTCATAAGTGGTACACTTTGAGTTGGGGGTGTAGGACTACTGCACAAGTGATCGGGCTGGACAGACCTGCGGGACAGTTAGGCACACAGAGTCCCGCTGCTTCTCCCGTCTGAGTGACGCTTGGCGAGCACGGTTTGGCAACGAGACTGAGCTCTCCCTCTGGCTAGAGCTGCTTCGAGACGGAGTAGATATATTTGCTCTAGACTATGACACTATCCTTACTGCCATATATGCTCTGACAGGTACTACTAAGGGTGACTGTTACCTATGTGTCCCCCCTGACCCTGGTATAGCAGCTGTTGCTCTAGGTGCTAGTGAGTCTGCTCTTTTTGGTACTGCGTCTGCTGAGGCCTTGCACACCTTCACGCTTGACTCAGGTGCTTCCCGCCGTTTCTTTCGTGACCGTACCACAGTCACTCCCCTCCATGCACCTGTCCCTGTCTCACTGGCTGACCCCTCTAGGGGCCCAGTGTTTGCTCGCTCCAACACTGTGCTCCCGTGTCCGGCGGTCCCGTCCGGTGAGCTGTCAGGTCTCCACATCCCCTCGTTCTCTACGAACCTGGTGAGCAACGCCATCCTTGAGGATCATTGGGTTGACACCTTTACTCCTGGAGGACAGCGTGTGGCTGTCTGCACGTGCTCCAAGACTGGCCGCCACCTGGCCACGTTCACACGTGAGCCTGGGTCCAGTCTGTACACCCTTACCACTGTGTCGCGCTACACCCCTTTGTCTCCTCAGCTGTACGCATATGCTCAGGTAGCTACCCAGTGTGAGTGTCGGCGCCTGTCACACGACACTCTCCTGTGGCACCACCGCCTTGGTCACCCCTCACTACCCCGCCTTCGTGGCATGCACTCTCGCTCCCTGGTCTCTGGTCTTCCCAGGTCTCTGCCTGCCCTCCCTCCCTCGCCTGCGCCGCCCTGCATTCCTTGCATCGAGGGGCAGCGCGCGCCGCTCCTCACTCCTCCTCGTTCCCTCCCACAGAGGCTCTTCTGCAGACCCTCCACCTGGACGTTTGGGGCCCAGCCCGCGTCCAGGGACAAAGCCGTGAGCGGTACTTCCTGCTGGTTGTCGACGACTACACGCGTTACACCACGGTCTTTCCCTTGCAGCGCAAGGCGGATGTCCCTGCTGTCCTGATCCCTTGGATCCGCGTTGTTTGTCTCCAGCTCCGCGAGCGGTTCGAGTCGGACTTTCCTACCCTGCGTCTGCACTCTGACAGAGGTGGTGAGTTCTCCTCCGACCTCTTGGCAGCCTTCTGTGCGAAGCACGGCATCCGCCATTCGTTCACGCTTCCGGCCTCTCCGCAGCAGAATGGGATTGCTGAGTGCCGCATTGGCTTAGTCATGGAGGTCGCTCGTACCTCCATGATCCACGCGGCGGCTCCCCATTTTCTATGGCCGTTTGCGGTCCGGTACACCGCGCATCAGCTTAACCTCTGGCCCCGTGTCTCCTTGCCAGAGACCTCGCCCACACTGCTGTGGACAGGGGAGGTTGGCAATGCGTCGCGATTCCGGGTCTGGGATGCTCGTGCCTTTGTCCGCGATACCACCGCGGACAAGCTCTCCGCTCGCGCCATTCCCTGCGTCTTCCTTGGTTTTCCTTCTGACGCGCCTGGCTGGCAATTCTACAACCCCGCCTCGCACCGTGTCTTTGCGTCTCAGGACGTCACCTTTGACGAGTCCGTCCCCTTTTACTGTCTTTTTCCCTACTGCACTGCCCCTCTCCCCCCCAGCGCCGCTCTTTCTCGCTCAAAGTCCTACCCAGGTAGACCCCCTCCCCACACCAGGTCCTGCTCCTTCAGGTGTTTCTCAAGTAGACCCTCCCGTGCCTGCGCGTGTTGAGGTCACTGGTGACTCAGGTCTGTTGGGGGTGTTTCTGCTGGGGGTGCTGAGCCTGGGGGTGCGGAGCCTGCATCGCGAATTTGGTGGGTGTGGGAAACAAGTCGGGACCGATTCGTTGGCGTGTAGTTTTCGATTCCTGGCGTTTTCCCCGGATTTGCGACAGGTTTCCGATACATCTGTCAAGTAGCAATCTACTGGTGCAGCGAAATTCTCCCGAACCCTTCGAGCTGGTTCGGGAGATTTGGGCGAACACGCGCAGGACAACTGGCGCGTGAACATTTGTCCGAACTTTTCGTCCATTGGCTGTTGGGCCATCCGATTTCAGTCCGCTTTGTTCTCGTTTTAACGTGTCTACTCGTTTTAAATTTTAAGCGCCTGTCTAGTTAAAAAAGATAATATTTTATTTGAGAATTAATATCGGGATGGTAACGAGGAGTGACCATAACGAATGGCGAACACATTTGTTTTAATAAGGCACAAACACTGTAGTGCACTCGACGAACAAATGTTACGGAATGAATTGCGGAAACAAAATTTCACAAAATACCACTGGTATTCAATTCATTGTAGCAGGCTCGTTTAAATCACAATGAAAACGGATTTTTATTCCAAATGCATAATGCACATATACAGATCTACACCCCATTTACATATCCCGCAACCATACAGAACTACCACTAAAAAAGCTCTGGCTGCTCCTCATCCTCATCATAATCCTGCTCCTGCGAATCAATGTTGCTCGTCAGATCCAGACCCTCATCCCCGTACTCGTCTGCCGCCAGCTCATCCTCTGGAATCTCCTTCCAGCCAACAATGCACAGCTTGCCAATCCCAAGGCAGCCGTCCTTCCGAGTGACATCACTGCTGTTGATCCAGCGCTGCACTACACGTGCCTGCCTGGCAAGGGCACCAGGATCTCCAGACCGATCCAACTGGGACCTCGTGGCGCTGGGATGGCGGAACTTGTACCTCACCTGCAAGAGAAGCATACATTCAGTGTAAGATAAACATGGTTTAACAACTAAAGATTGCAAGTGTTTGAGCTTACCGCTGCAAGGATGACAAGCAGCTGAACTGGAAACAGAGCAACAGGCATGTCGCCACTCGAATCCCACAGCCTCACGCACTTCACAAACGCAGGGCTGGAAAACGGCTTCCCCTTCTTGTCGACATGCCAGGGGATGCCCAGTAACACTGCAAGTGCGAAATCAGAGAGTTAAAAAATGCCACGTCCAAAAAGAAACTTCAATCAAACGACTTACGCGATGCGTAGCGCTCCACATAATCGGCACAAAGGTGGGGTAAGTCAAACGGCACCACATACACAATCTCGCCCTTAAAATTCCGCTTTTTTCTGCAAAAAAATGCACGGTTCGTTGCTCAAAGCTTGCAGGCGACAGGATCGGTAAATTTTACCGATCCTGTCGTTGAAGCGGACACACGCGTGCTTCAGAAGGCCATTTGACTTCAACATTACAGCGAGCTTCAAGCCTTCTGAAGAGGCCACGCTGTGACCGGCTTTCACTGCACATGGGTTACAACAACGAGTCAGTTAGAGTAACAGTATGAGAGGACAAGCCATGTGATATGCACTTACTGATCAAAGCAGCGAGCATCTGTTCAGGATCGGGTGACAGGTTCAACGACTCCTGCTTGAAGAGGAAATCGTCGCATGCCTCTTTGATGTGGGCCTGAAGCACAGACAAGAACACTATAAGTGACTGTGCGTTGATGATTTCCTAAGTAAAAACAGTCTTGCACCTTGCCCGCCAATTCAGTTTCCCAAGCTGATCCTCAGCGAGCTTCTGCGCCAGATGCTTCAACAGCGCCAGCGCGTCCTTCAGGTCTGAATCCCGGCTTTGAAGCTCAGCTTTAAGTTCCTCGACTTGTTTTTCCTGGTCGGCAAGCTTGAGTTGAAGCTCATCATTCACCTCCAACTGCTGCCTTCCCTCCTCGCAAAAACGCACAGCCTCAGTGGCATAGGCCTTTCCACGCACCCGGGTCATCGCCAACTCCATCGTGCTATCTCCAGCTTTGCCTGTTGGAGAAGGAAACCGAAATAAAAGAACAATTAATGACATGAAGTCGCGGGTGTAGCTTGGTACGAACTGCAAACAATGACTCACCAGCAGCATCACCCGCTTCATCAGTAGCGAAGGCTGCATCAACGTTTGCAGCCACAGTCGCTGCAGCACGGGGACCACGCTCACCATCGCCTTCAGGTGTACCGCCGGGAGCAGCTTCGGCGGGAGAAGGCTGGGCGGATTTCGCCGCCGCCTGCAGCGCAGAACCCTTCCCCCCTGCACCCGGGGTTCCAGGGCCTGACCCGGCACTCAGTCTCCGTCGAGCTTGATTTGACCGTGGTCCGGTTTGACGGCGGTCGGGCGTAGCAGTGTCGGTTTCATCGTCAGCTTCAACTGCGAACAAAGGAAAGGCAAGATTAACTGACACGATAAGTACTTACAAATTAATAATATAAGTGCACTCGGCGACAACATAGACTACGTACCCAAACCGCCTTTGCTGGAGATGTACTTGTGATAATCTTTGCTGGCATGGGAAGGCAGTTGCCTAGACTGCAAATGCATCATAGAGGGAGGGACTAGCCCTTTAGGATTGCCGCGCGGCATCGTTGGTGAGAAACAATATGAGGCTACGAAAACGTGTAGCCAGCAATACGCAAGAGAAAATTATATATACAGGCAGGGGCCATGACAATAACGAAAGGAAGCGGAAGCGGTTCGCGAAACAAAAAGAAAGGGTACATCGGAAGAAGTAGCGCACCGCCATTCGCTCGAAGTACACTGCTACTGAACCACATACAGTGGGGCGTGATTATGCAGGCTCGGCATGGGGCGATAGTGGGTAAGGTCTTACAGGGCGGAGGAAGGAAATTCAAAACTCAAAATTTGAAATTCTAAATTGCAGTCACGACGCTCGAGCAGCAGCGACCACGGCTGAGGAGATGAGTGGGAAAGGGAGGGAGGGAAGGGAGTGTGCAAGGGGAAGATGGTTGGGGGATTCAGAGGAGGGTATCGGGGGGGAGGTAGGGTTCGTCACGTACGTGACTGCCCCGAAGCGTAGAGAGGATGCAGACAACGCACTGTGCAGTGCTACACACGGACAGCGCAGAGAGGATGCAGTGCCGTGTACAGCACTGCACGGTAGCGCACGACAACGCGGAGAGGATGCTGTGCTGTACACGGCACTGTAACCACATGGTGATGCCTCGCTGGAATGATCACTGTTTAGCAACACCTGCGCACAACATTGAGGTTGGCAGTGCTTGTCGCCTCGAAACAGTGAGAATTGTAAATTTTGGCTTTGAGGCGCGGTGTACACCACCACGCTAAATCAGTCGCCCACACCATTGCTTGAACTCCCCTAGGGTACGTTCGTGGCTGCCCCGAAGCCCTCCCGACAAGGCGGGGAGTGCAAGTTGGGTTGGTGATGCCCTGCTGGGGCAGTCAGCGTGTTACGACAGCGGTGCAATAGAAAATTCGGATCGCAATGATTGTCCCCATCCAAACAGTGCGAAAGTCGGTTACTGTACTAAACAAGTGTTTTTTTTTCATCGCCACACTTACATAGTCACAAAGGCCAGCGGATCGATTGCACAGCTGCAGGGTGTTCTCTTCACTAAGTGCTGATAGAGAAGAGGTTGAATACAACTGTACTTTTTGGATCATGGATCTGATACACCAACAAAAATACCGAGACCACGTTGAAAATTTGGGGTGCACTGTTCTTGCCTTCAAGGTACAAACGCAATAAAAAACAAGGACTGTTGTTGGCCCAGTTGTTCAAGTCTTTGATGAGCTGTCGCCCGTGCCCCCAACGAGGTTTTTGAGAGCCGGTTTAACGCCGTACTCCCTATACTGCGCACTTTTAATTCCACTAAAATAGTTTCCCCGACTCAGTTACAATGAGGCATGGCACTTATATAAATGAGCTATTTCACAGTCAGTAATTGTGAATGAATTAAAGTACAAATGTACAGGTGCAAGACAATTGATAATCTACAGCTAATTTATATTTACAAAACCCATACCCTAAAAATACTACCATCTGAAATGGTTCCACACAAACTTGGCATTGGGATGAGCCGGATCTACTGTTTTGGGCACAATATGAACCACACGCAGAATGCTCTCTACCGGCACCACCCCGTAACCCCGGCTAGATGGCCACCACTTCAGCGTCTTCATGTCAGTAGTTGCAGATTGTGCTGTAGTGGCATAGTAACGACAGAATGCAAGCTCCTCCGAAATTTGCTCCTCTGTAGTATTGCCGTCATCGCCCACAGTTTGCACTGTCCGCCGCAATGTGAAGATGCAAAATAGTTTCGCGCGCCAAACCTGCATCACGTCGTTGTCGTCCTTACCCTCGACGTCGACATCAGAAAACCAGGGCTTCTCGTAAAACATTGGAGTGGCTCGAGCATACTGTAGGTATCTGCTATATCTCGTGAAATCGTCGTCCGGCGGCACAGCGACACCGCCGTGTAGCTCGATCACGTGATGGTAGTGCACCTTCGTACGCCTGTCGGGATGCTCCTGTTGAAGATATCCTTTGATGCTGCCTTGCAGCTGACGGTAATCGCCCGGGACACTCGACTTATACGCCTTAAAGTTCTTGTCGCTTGTGTCCCCCAGCACTATCCGTGATGACGCCCCAGTCACTGTTGCACGTCCGCTCTCGATTGCCTGCTCATGCAACGTAAGATGTAGTGAACATGCATGATGGAGGACACATCATAACAAACACGGTCAACAACTACCATTAAGATATGTGTAGATCAAACAGCAAGAAAAATAAGGAAATCATCGGTGACAAGTAATGCAAAAAAAAAAAAAAAAAAAAAAAAACACAATATCAATGACGACGACGACGGCAACAACGACAATTACCACGACGACGACGACGACGACGGCAACAACTACAACCACATCGACGACGTCGACGACGACGACGATGGCGACAACGACGACGATCCAATAACAACTGCCACGACGCCGTCGACAACAACAACAACGACAACCAGGATATGACGACTACGGACGACGAATAGAGCGACGACGACGTCGACATCGGCGACAACAACATCGACAACAACAACGACGACGATCACAACGACGATGATGACGACGACGGCGACGACGACGATGACGACGACAACGACAACGACAACGACGACAACGACGACCTCGACGACCACAACAAGAACGACAACGACGACGACAGCAACAACCATAACGAGAACGACAACGCCAACGACAACCATGACGCCAACGACATTGACAACGATAGCGAACAACGACATCGACGACGAACGGCGATGAATAAATCAAGGACAACAGCAACAACACAATCGCGGACCTGTTGTAGGGCAACACTTCGTGCTTGACTATCACTCTCCTCCTCCACGGCGACGGTCATCTTCTCGAGCAGCTCAGAAATGAGACATCGATGCCTCGGCGTTCCTCTTGTTTGACGCTCGGTACAGGCGCTTCATTACGGCAACGTGCACATGCTCGTAGACATCCGTGCAGTAGTGTATCGGTATGCCACGACGCCGGATGTCGTCGGTGACATGCAGCATCGCGTGGATCTTAGGGACGTTGAACTCCGACTTCTGGTCCCCCTTGAATTCGTTCATGAGCATCGGCACCAACCTGCACGTACGAACAGAAACAAAGAGTAGTAGGTGCATGGGTTAAGAGACCATGACTTGGGCGACATAAAATAATTGGAAGCAAACATTTGCATTCGCTGGCGACAAGCAACCACAAGGACGTTTACTCACGTGCGTGTGATGTCGTCCAAGTTCTTCAAGGAAGCGTCGTCATGGTACGTCCAATGCCACGCCTCGGAGTGCCAATGGCAAAACAACTCCACTGCACGGATTGTCTTGCTATCGACATTGGCCATGAGCAGGAGCACTGGCAACACCTGCATGACCGCCTGATGATGAAACGCCTTGAAAGTGGCATGCCCGCTAAAATAACCATCTGTATGCGCCGGAAGTCGGAAGAACGACTGTCTGCTGTACTGGGTGATGGTTCGTAGCGAAGCATCGAGCTTCTGCAACGTCTCGTTGCTGAGCTTATGCTTGAGACCTTCCAAGATGTGCTTGTACACACCTAAGAGCGACATGTGCATGAAGTCGGATGTGATTTGCCGATAAGGATTAGCGAAATCCTTATCGGCAAATCGCTGACCCCACAGGGCGCTCTGCACACAGATAAGCAGTAGGAAATGCATTAGATTGGGACGAAAACTTCCATACGAACATCACAACACAATGTCAACAACAACAATGCTCGCAAACTATACGGTGCTTACATGGATGCAGTGGGTGCTGTGATCTCGCTCGAGGTCCTCTCGTGCCTCCCTCGTGTGCGCGTGCTCCATCTCGCCAACGAGCTCTTTCTGCCGTTCCTCCGTCTGAAACAGCAGTGGGTAGTCCATGTTGTTGAGCTACTCCTTTGGTACTAGACATCTGGGACAAGGGTACTTGGTCTTGATCCCCGACTTGGTTCCGGCGACTTTGCACTGCTCTGGGTAGTCACCGACATACGAGTATGTCATCGGATAGACCTTACGACGAATGCCGTATGGGTCTGTGAGAAACATGCCGCTGCACACAACGAACAAGGAGCGCTTCGTTAGTCAAATGTCACGAATGCGACTGCACATAAGAGGACAACATGGACATGCATTATCACAAGAGATAGTAAATTTACACGACCAGCCCACTTACTCGTGTTGTCCAACCTTCAACTCCTCCATGATGAGATCCAGAGCCTCTTGGAACACTTCCAGCCGTCGACGTGGTTGATCCGCCTTCGAGTAGAAACTGCCGTCGTCGTCAGGTAGCAAAGCGACGAGTCGATGGCCGTGCGTTCTCCAACGGTTCCCCGCAGCGATGTTGGCGAGTGAAATGTACACAGGCCATCCTTTGAGGCCTCCATCGATGGTGAGTGTTGTCTCGTCCGAGTAAATGATCACAGCAACTACCGACGCTCCTTGAGGCAACTCTTGAAGAACTTCACGCCACCAGCTCCCCGTCTCAGGACCTTTGTAAATCCGTTTTGCATTAGGAATCTCCTTGGGTTGTTTCACGACGAAACCAGAAGCGTTCGCCTCGTTCTCGTAAAGGCTCTTCACGCATGACAGCACGGAACGGCGCCACATGATGACTGGCTGCAAATTCCCCTCCTTCGTGAGGTTAACCTGTTCGAATGGGTGCAAATTAGCGTCGGCAAGTTGCATCTTCTCGTAGCTGTCAAACGCGGCGAGTGACTTGATCGATAAACGCCCCGAATTACTCAACACCTCTATGAAGATGGATATCAACTCCTTGATATCCACCCGCGAGAGACCGGAACCCCCCGCTGCTGTCCTTACAAAACGGTACACACGGGTGTCAACGTCGACGTGTGACGCATCACCTCCTGGGTAGAAATGATACCCTGTTTGATCCTCGTTCATCTCGGCAGCGTCAGCGTTGTCTGTCATGCGAGTGCACTCTCCCACCCTATCCGTGTGTGGACGTTTGTTCGCGTTCGTGCGAATGCGATCTGCAGCAGCTTGGAGCGCATCCACAGCACCACCCTGGCTGCTCTCGCCACGCACCACAGGTGTTGCATCTGCAGGTTTGTACTTGTGCTGCCCTCGACTCATATGCCATGCCTTCGCCAAAGGAGTAGCAAACCGTACAATGCAGTCCTTCACGTCACACCCATAATGCCCTCCCTCCATTCTGCCAAGTACGGTATGAACTCGCCAATATTTCCAACAAAGGTATAAGACGGATTACATAAGATGGACAGAGATGTCTTTACAAAGACACAATCCCCACAGTGCCTACAGCTACAAGATCCTAGGCTGACAGTCTTCAGTTGCAACAGCTTCTCGCGAACCTGCAACACAAACGCAATGCAACGTAGAATCTTTGGCAATGGACCAAGCTTTGCTGCCATTGTACACAAATCCTTTGAAAAGTAAATGCCAAACAGAGAGTGTTTGCACTTGACTACAAGCAACAACAATAAACTTCTTTCAGACGCCGTGCCTACCTCGGGGTAACGACCAGGATGTGCTGACCCGTGAGAAGACCTGCTGAAAATACGTAAAAACAGGGTGAAAAACCAATGATTCTCATCTCCCCCAATATTGAAGCAGACAGCTTCCGACCGTGAAGATTGATTGTGAAAAACCAGGCCAGACACGGCGGAAAGCATGGAAACGAGACCAGACATCACCCAGATAAGTCAACAGTACATAAGCACCCTAATTCGGCCCCTAAACATTACCAAATCAGATGTATTAACAGTTCGCGAAAAAGCAAAACACCACTGAAGATCAATCTGTTTTCTCTATGTAAGATTACTACCACGCTTACCAAGTCAGGATAGGCGCGGTTCAGCAACAGGTGGGGCGTCGAGTCGATTCCGTAGGTGCAGAACGCGCAGGCAACGGGAGGGACAGGAAGTTGCCTAAAAACAGGGAAAAAAAAAAAGCTGTGATCGAAAAATGAGAAAATGCTGGACGAGCAGGAGAACCCCTCTCGATGGAGGTGAGGTGGAGGATGAGTTTGGAGTAGGGGAAGGGGAGCTTTCGTTGAAGTATTCCTTATACCTAACCTGATCGTTTAGAAGAGAGTTAGCACCACTACGAAACGCGAAGAGTCGTACCCCACCGTACACACTGTGAACTTGCCAGAAACGGTATTTACACATATCGAATCGGTTAGAAGGGGTTGGGGGTCGAGTCCCAGCTCTGCCTGTATGTTACTAGTGCTCCCCTTCAGACGCGGGACTTCTGTGCCTCGCGTCACGTCATGCCAGCAATCCACCCTGGGTACATCTGGACGAATGGGAGCACGACGATGTTTCGTTTTGTTGTCGTGTCTCAGGGTGGTCACCACTCCACGTTGAACCTTGGCTCCTAGCGCCACGCCTGCGACCCGGGTGCGTCGGGAGCGTTCAGCGAGGCACGCACAAAATAAAAAACTAGGAAAAAACATCCGACTGCCCAGGCATACGATTTGTGAAGTTCGGTATAGCCTATCTACACCAAAAATCGTCAACAGTGGTTTTACCATGGTGACGAACTCTTGCGGGCACTATGATACGAAAATTATATGAAAGCTTCGGTGGGAAAAGCGACAGCAACTGCAACTGTCACACCTGAGATATGACAAAGTTCCTGTCTATCGTGGTGTTACCGCTATAGTTACAAATTACTGAAGGTTTCCATTATCATCCCGAAGTTATTACACCATTAAATTTATTTTCCACCCTAAATATTCGCAGCGTTTAAATCATGACTAAGATTGCTTCACATATTTGGTTATATGATAAAATGCTTCATTAGTTGATGAAAATATAATATGATATTCTTTAATATGCGACGGTAAGGTACTAATTATTATTTGATTGATTTTTTATATGCTCCTACCTCAAACAAAAGTGCACATACAATGAACCATTATTACCCGTCTACGGCTTCACGCTCTACAGCGCAATTGTGAAGGTTCCGTAATGCTTGGAGGAGCTTCCACACTGATTGGGTTCGAAACATCGAGGCCTTTCCAAGCCTCAGCCACCGCACGAATTCAACAGCCGAGGCACGAACACACTATGTCGAGCCTCCAGAACGAGGTACGTGTCGGATGCTACATGCGAAAAATCTGCTTGGAGCTGGGGGTGTAGATGCCCAATCGCCAATCAGAATCGCTTGCCGTTGGTTTGCGTTTGGTTTGCCACCCGAAACGGTTTGCGACTGGTTTTCGACTGGAAAGTGTCAACCCGCTGATTTGCGATGTGAGCGTGCGGAGCCTGGGGGTGCTGAGCCTGGGGGTGCAGAGTCTAAGGGTGCTGAGCCTGAGCGTGAGGAGCCTGAGGGTGCTGAGCCTGGAGGTGCTGAGCCTGTGCGTGAGGAGACTGGAGGTACTGCGCCTGGGGGTGCTGAGCCTGAGAGTGCTGAGTCTGGGGGTGTGGCGCCTGAGGGTACTGAGACTGCTGCTGCACGGTCTCCTTGGAGTGGCCGCCTTCATCCGCGTATGCCTCTCTCCTCACAAAAGCTGCACGAGTGGTACGGTCGCTGTCAGGGTTGCGCTGCTGGAGCTCGGGGCTCTGTCGCTGGAGGTGGTTCTGCTGTAGTTGCTGGAGCTGGGAGTGGTGCTGGTACTTTGTCTACAGAGGGTGCTGGAGTAGCTGGTCCCGGAGGTGCTCGTACTGGAGGTACTGGAGCTGCTAGGGCTGGAGGTGCTGCGTCTCGGGGTGCTGCGGCTGGAGACACTGAGGCTAGAGACCCTGGGACTGGAGGTGCCAGTTCTGGGGGTGCTACTGCTGGAGGCACTGCGGCTGGAGGCCCTTGGACTGGAGGTGTCGGTTTTGGGAGTACTGCTGCTGGTGACGCTGGTCGTGGAGGTGCTGGCGCTGGAGGAGCGGGAGCTGCTGGAGGTGGTGGCGCTGCTAGAGGTGCTGGAGCCGCTAGAGGTGCTGGAGCTGCTGGAGGTGCTAGAGCTGTTGGTGCTGGTGGTACTACGGAGCCGCGACTGTTCTTCGCTCCGCTGTCTCCGTCGTCTGTGCCACCGCCTGACACTGTACTTCGTCAGGTTCTCACCCTCCCATCGTCTACTGGTCTTCCGTTGCAGCCTGGCTCACCGCTGCCTGCTCCTTCTCCTTACACTGAGCAGCCTGGAGGTCGTGTTGCGCGTCGTGAGCCTGCGTCGCGTCCTGTCTCGCCTGTTCGCACTCTTCGCACTGGTCGTACTGGTAGTCGTGTTCCTCGTCCGCGTCCGCCAGCTGTCCCCGGCACACACCTCATGAATCTGCGTCCTTCCTCTGCTCCGCAGCGTGTTCCTCTGCCGTCTCCTCCTGCGTCTTCTCTGCCTGACGTCGCGGACCCTGAGTCTGGCCAGTTTCGTGCTGCACACCCTACTGCCACGCGTTTGTTAGCCACTGTTGTCACTGACCCGTCGTTTGAGTCTGCTGCCGCGTCTGCTTTAGTCGCTGAGCTTGTTGACTTTGCTGATGCCTGTCGTCTAGACTACGCTGCTTGACTTGTTGATGAGTCTGAGTCTGTCTGTCCTCCGTCCGTCGGGGGTGAGTGTGCTCTTGGCACGGACGTCCTTAAGGACAGGCACAAGGACCTTGAGTGTCTTGCAGCCGCTTCGCCTCATTTCGTGTCCATGCTGCTTGCCCCTGAGGGAGACCCGGATGCACCAGACATCCCGACCCCGCGGTCTTACGCTGAGGCGATCGCGGGCCCCTACTCATCTCAGTGGCCGAAAGCCATGGACGCAGAGATGGCATCCTAGAAGTCCACAGGCACTTACGTCAATGAGGTTCCCCCTCCTGGGGCGAACATCGTCGATGGCATGTGGATTTTCAGGGTGAAGCGGCCGCCGGGTTCTCTGGCTGTCTTCAAGGCTCGTTACGTTGCACGAGGCTTCAGTCAGCGAGAGGGAGTCGACTTCTTCCATACCTTCTCCCCCACCCCGAAGATGACCACTATTTGGGTACTGCTGCACGTTGCCGCTCAGCGTGACTACGAGCTTCACTCTCTTGACTTCAGCACAGCCTTCTTACAGGGGAGCCTGCACAAGGAGATCTGGCTGCGCCGCCCACCTGGCTTCACTGGGTTGTTCCCTCCTGGTACCCAGTGGAGCCTCCGGTGGCCAGTCTATGGTCTCCGCCAGGCGCCGCGTCAGTGGCACGACACACTGAAGACTACGCTTGCGGCTCTTGGGTTTGCTCCTTCGACAGCTCACCCATCGCTGTTTCTGTGTGCCGACACTTCACTGCCGCCGTTCTACATCCTCATGTACGTTGATGACTTGTTCTTTACCAATGCTGACATTGAGGCCCTCGCCTTGGTGAAGTCGGAGCTGCAGAAGAGACACACGTGCACTGACCTGGGTGAGCTGCGCAGTTACCTTGGCTTGCAGATCACCCGGGACCGAGCACGCCGCACCATCACACATGGTGCAGCAGGTCCTTCAGCACTTCGGCTTCATCTGGTCCTCGCCACAGTCCACTCCTCTGGTTACACGTCACTCGCTCTCAGCTCCACATTCGGACGAGTCTGTAGAGCCGAGTGGTCCGTACCCGGAGCTAGTGGGCTGTCTCATGTACCTGATGACTGCACTCGTCCTGACCTTGTGTACCCTCTTGGCCTTCTGGCTCGCCACGTGTCTCCTGGTCGGCACGGAAAGGTGCACATGGAAGTTGCAAAGAGGGTACTGCGCTACTTGTGCAGTACATCAGGCATGGGGCTCGTGCTTGGAGGGCGGAGTGAGGTTGTCCTCACTGGGCACTCAGACGCTTCTTGGGTTGACGACTTGGCTACGCAGCGGTCGTCGCAGGGTTATACCTTCAGCCTTGGCTCTGGCTCTTTTTCTTGGCGGTCTACTCGCTCTTCGTCTGTTCTCGGCTCCAGTTGTGAGGCTGAGATCTACGCCACAGCCATGGCTGCACAGGAGTTACGCTGGCTCACCTACCTGCTGACTGACTTGGGAGAGAGGCCTCGTTCTCCTCCAGTTCTGTACGTCGACAACAAGGCCGCCATTGCCTTGTGTGAGGAGCACAGACTGGAGCACAGAACGAAGCACATCGCTCTGCGTTACTTCCTGTCTCGAGAGTTGCAGCAGCGTGGACATCTTTGTCTTGCTC